AGTGGATGAGTTTTCATAAGTAGATTCCACTCATGGTGCCCCTGTGTGTGTTAGAGTAGAACTGTGCTCACAGGGTTCTCAGTGGATGATTTTTCTTAAGCAGATCCCACTCATGGTGCCCCTGTGTGTGTTAGAGTAGAACTGTGCTCACAGGGTTCTCAGTGGATGATTTTTCATAAGTAGATTCCACTCATGGTGCCCTGTGTGTGTCAGAGTAGAACTGTGCCCCATAGGGTTCTCAGTGGATGATTTTTCATAAGTAAATTCCACTCATGGTGTCTCCATGTGTGTCAGAGTAGAACTGTGCTCCATAGGGTTCTCAGTGGATGATTTTTCATAAGTAGATTCCACTCATGGTATCTCCGTGTGTGTCAGAGTAGAACTGTGCTCCACAGGGTTCTCAGTGGATGCCTTTTCATAAGTTGATCCCACTCATGATGTACCCATGTGTGTCAGAGTAGAACTGTGTCCACAGGGTTCTCAGTGGATGATGTTTCATAAGTAGATTCCACTCATGGTGCCCCGTGTGTGTCAGAGTAGAACTGTGCCCCACAGGGTTCTCAGTGGATGATTTTTCATAAGTAGATCCCACTCATGGCCCCCCATGTGTGTCAGAGTAGAACTGTGCTCCACAGGGTTCTCAGTGGATGATTTTTCAGAAGTAGATCCCACTCATGGTGCCCCGTGTGTGTCAGAGTAGAACTGTGCCCCACAGGGTTCTCAGTGGATGATTTTTCAGAAGTAGATCCCACTCATGGTGCCCCGTGTGTGTCAGAGTAGAATTGTGCTCACAGCGTTCTCAGTTATGATTTTTCATAAGTAGATCCCACTCATGGTGTCCCCGTGTGTGTCAGAGTAGAACTGTGCTCCACAGGGTTCTCAGTGGATGATGTTTCTAAAGTCAATTTGTTCGTCACTTGTCTTTGTCTGGAAACCCCTCTGAAATGTGCCCAGAATCAGAGCCCCCCACACAAACACGTGCTGACTGATGGTGGCTTCGTATGATGTTCCTGGACAGATCTCTGGTGTGGAAGGCTAGAATTGCACATCTGGGATACCACCCAATCTCCACAGTAACTGTCCACCCAGCCTGTGGTTAGAGGTCAGGAAAGACTCACCTGACCGGAGCGGGTACCTGCCTGTGAGGAAGGCAGCCCGGCTTGGGGTGCACACGGCCGCGGCCGCGATGTGCTGGGTGAGTGTCACCCCTTCTGTTGCTAGTCGGTCGATATTTGGGGTCCTGTCGAGGGAGAAAGTTAGAGTTAGATGATTAAACAGGTTTTCCCACAAAACCACTGCTGTGCTGAGTCAGGACATATAGGGCAGGGAGAAACGTTGCCAGTCCTGTAGTAGCTTCTCGGTCATTGGTTTGAGGGACTGCTGAGCTGTGCAGCTTACGGATTTACTGTGGACTTCCAGAAGAACGAAGAAATCTGTCGTCGAAAGAAAACAAGCAGACTGCTTCTTAGAAGCAAAGATGGTGAGATGTAGGCTTACTTACTTCAGAGACGTCATCAGGGAAGAGCAACTGCTGGAAAAGAACATCATGTTTGGTGAAGTAGAGGATCAGTGAAAACGAGGAGACGTTCCCAGAGTTGGTGTTTTGTTCTCCTTCTGCTGCTATAACAGATCTACCACAAGGGGGTGGTGTTCATGAACAGAAA